AGGTTCTTTGTGTTTTGATGTTTGTAGTGAATATATAATTAGAATATAAAAGGAAAGGTTATACTTAGGATCCCCTTTTGTATTATTTTGTAATCTTAATGCTAAATCCATTGATTGGTGATCTTGAAAGGAAAAAGTTTATGTTTAGAAATTGTAGTGACTCTTTCTTTATGTTGATGCTTCATTTTGGAGTTATATTAATTGTTTTGTAAAGTTTCTTTTATCTTCTTTATGTCTGATTTCTGTTTCCGCATCGCACTTGCGAGCTAACCGGGTCGGGTCGTGACATATTAGTGAATCTGCATATTGATTTGATGTAATTCTTTTTTAGTCCTTATAATGAACGATTTCCTAATACTTATTTATGTTATATGTTTCCAAGAAAACTTTCCTGGTTTATTTCTAATCTTATTTAAATGATTTCAAATAATTAGATAATAATTCCATATTTATTGAATTGTTTATTTATTTATAATTATAAAAGTACTTGTTCAGATCAAAATCCAAATACTCTTTTGATTTTTAAGCTTGTTTATTAGCTCATTTAAGTTCTAATTTGATTAATTATTCAAGTACAAGCTTAATTTGACTATAAAAATTCTAAACAAGCCAAGTAAGAACATTTATGTGAAAGCTTGGCCCAAGCTCAAGTAGAACATGAATTTGCAGCATGAACAAACTAAAATATTTTTTTAACTAACATATTTGCAACGAAATCCAACACTATCGCATGACCTAACAATTATTCCTAAGCATGAGAACTCTCAACATCATGCATTACTCTCTCAAATGGAAACTTTTGAACATATCAAAAATTATGCACCAAGAGTTAGCACAACCACATGGAGCCACAATAGAGCCACCTGCACTTGAACTTGCTAAACCATGGAAGAATATTCCAAGACTCGAGGGAGCCACAAACCCCATGAACGCGAACCTTCAACTCTGAAATCACTTGTTAGGAAAGGCCAGATAAACCAATGGTCAAACTCATTTTCAACTTAAAAGACTTAAGCCGTAGGTGATGTCCAACCACTTAGTATTTCTATACTGACAGTTTTTAAGTATCCAATATGAAACTAAACTCAATACTCTCACATGCCCTAGTAAATTCTACATAGAATATATAAAACTTTCTTCAGTGCCATTTTTAGAAATTCATGTTGCACAAAAAAAAATTAAAATTTATGCAACAATTTACCCATGCATGGCAACATGTGTGGCCATAGCCTAGCAAAGCCATGATTGATAATCAATAAATAAAATTAAATAACCAAGTAATAACTCAATTTTAAAGAGAATAACATCTCTTCATCAATTAAAATTGCAAAAACTACATTTAAGTTAGCTTAATGCAAGATAATGGTCCAATTATTCTTAGCTTCATAAATGTAAAAACAGTTTGCCTTGATGCAAATGGGATACATAAAACAAGCTGATTAGCGAACAATAACCATGTAGAATGACTGCAAATTTATACAATATAAAACTCTTTAGGAGATAACAAACTCCTCAGCTCCACAAGAGGGGGGGTAGTTCTAACAATCTACAAGTTTTGGCCTCGCAATAATGCAATACTCATATCAAAACAACTTAATATTTCTTTAGACATAAATATTTTCATGCGTTTTAACCACTGCTACATATTAGCAAAGGATATCAACTCACAACCACTAAAATAGAACCTGAATAAAAGCAAAGCAGGTCCATCCCAAGCCTCCATTTGTCCTTTGTAATAGTCATAGAAATCAACTACCTGGATAAAAGAATATTGTTCAACTAAGGATAAAAGGAGTAAGAAACAAAAAGAAAAGCGTACTTTTTCATTTCCAAGCATAAGATTACACATTTTACAATGGGGGCAAACATAATTTAAATAGCTTCAAGGCTGCTAGCTAATACTTTAAAGCATGGAAATTTGAAGTTGAAAAAAACTATCAAGGTAACTAATTATCCCAAAAAGACAACATTTCAATATTTCTGTCCATTAAAAGGAAATGTGCCCCACTTTAAACAACATGAGAACATAACCTCAGGATATTTAATCATCAATGTGGGATGGTTCTTATATGCCTCAGGGACGAGAATCATAAGAGCCTCTGCAGGGTTTCGACCACTTCTTAGTAATAACTGCACAAATTTAAATGATGGTGATCAGGAATCAGCCCATAAAGTGGAGAATAAACATATAAACTAGAAAGAATATAAAAAGGAAGAAATGATACCCCTTTTCCAATATATAATAACATATTGTTTGTAGAAATAATTACAATCACAAACTTCAAAGTTTCAGAAGTATTACATGAATAAAGTAATTAGTACATAGTGACTTTCACAACCTTGAGAGCTACCAAGTTGAACTAAAATGCAATATATTGGTATAAAATTTTGACTCCATGAGGCTTATTACCTCCTCAACTATTTAAAGAGAAATCGTAGAGAGAAAAATATAGAGAGAGAAAGGAATGAGTTTCCAACACTGGTCGACTCTGACACCAAGATCCAAAAACTTGACACAAAAAATGAATGAAACTGATAGGATATTATAGGTTGATGTGAAATAAAGTTTAATATATTTAAAAGCTTCATGCAAGAACCATCAATCAAGGTAAGTTAGCATTTTGATGAGGACTTCGAGATTTATAAAAGAATTAGGGTTTTATAAATAAAACATAATATTAGAATTTCACGATAAAAATCTTATCCAAGAAGCCCTAAAGTGGATGTAATTAGGATCGAGTTTAAATCAATGTCATGCAATAATATTCCAAAAAATCCCAACAAAGTCTTTGATTAGGATATCAGCTGGAGATTCTTGCGTGTCTATCAGAGGAGGCATCGTATATTGACGGCTACGATTAGGAGTTTTTATTTGTGATGCATTTATGTATTTTATTTTTTATTTATATTTTGGTTTTACCATTGTACCTCTGAGAGGGATTAGTTCATGTTGTAGCCCAGAGGATAATTTCTTCTTTGTGTCTTTTGTTCCTTGAGGCCTGTATATGAAGGCCCTAGCTTTTGTATTAGAGATGATGATTTTTTGAATGAAATTTCAGCACTTGTTATTTCTCTTTGTTGTGAGTTCTTGAGAGTGAAGAAAACCCTAAGAGAGGGCCAAGCAATTCCCGTCAGCCATCGGTAGAGTCTGGGCTCGCAATTTGTATCTGTTCTTACTCCCCTCTCCCTTTCCTTCAACCCCATACCGCCGGCCACCCACACCCTTCCCCACTTCCGGCCTAACCTCTCCCCTCCACCCCCACACCTGCCGGCCAAGCCTTCCCCGAGCCCAAACCGCCAGCCTCCCTACCCTCTCCACCTCAAGCCGCCGGCCAACCTAGCCCCACCCTATCTGCTGGCCCACTCATCCACAAGTCCCTTGATTTCAAATTCAAATTGTCTCTTAAATACCTTCATAATTTATCCTATTATTAATGTGAAAAGTCTCATAATTTGAATTCAAATAGATTTGAAATTCAAACTCTTTCCTAATTAATAAAAATTTTTTTAAGAAGCTCCTCAAATCGCTCCCAATCGGAAATTAATTTGGATTTAATTCCAAATCACACATTCATTGCATGTAGACACATTCATTGAATGTGGACACCCTTCCTCTCCCCTCCTATGCCCCCCCCCCTATATTCCCTCTCTCTTAATTAATTCTCCCCATTAATGCTCTCAATCAACGCCATCCCTTCAAGGTGTGCCGCCCCACTTATTCCCCCATTAGAGGAGATTCAATTTAAAAATTATTACCTCCTTTCCAATTATAAAATCTGAAATTAAATTTCAGATTTTAATTTATTTCCCCTCCACTCACCTAAACCAAAAAACTGAAATTAAAGTTGCCTCTTCCCCTAGCCTAGGCCGACCACCCCAACCTTTCCCTCCTCTCATTCTCTTCTCCCGTACTTCATACCCCATCCAAAGAAGGAGCTACACAACCCCGGCCTACTCCCCATGAATGGCCGATCATGAAAGAGACCATGGATTCGTATACGATCATCAAGGACGAGTAGATGTGTTGAGATCACCCTTCTTCGACCTCAACTTGGAGATCGACCACACCGTTGATGACTACGTCGACCAGATCCTCTTTACTTTGACGACCGCATCGACGAGCACCAAATCCCTGGACAGTGGCAAGTTATTCAACATCCACCGACTCCTTACCCTCCGGCTAGGTTTTCATTGGGCAATATTGTAGGTGTCTTGTGTCTTTTGGTGATATCTTTAAGTTTGCTAAAATTATTCTTCCGTTAAAACAACCCTCAAGAGTGAGAGTGAGGAGAACTCAAGGTGAACTTTCTATTTGTTAACCGAAGGATTTCTATTACTTGTGCATCTAGCTTTATTATTATTTTGTTGTTATTTTAAATTGCTTTCTAACCTAATTTGTAACCGCATGCCAACGCAAAACAACAACTAAGAAATCCTAGAATCTAATCTTGTGAAACATTAATTTTAAAATTAGCAAACTTAACAATTTTTATTAAATTCCTATAATTCCTTGTATGTTTCACATCAGTCTTCCTCCTTATTACTTCTCTCAAGTATGAGAGAATATAAGCCAAATTTTCCTTCTGAACCTAATAGGAGAGAGTAGGATCAACGTTGTCTTGAGATGCATGCCAAGGGAGATGTAGGGCCATTAGTTGATCCATAAGATTCTAGCCAATTGTTACTTGAACAGAAAGAAACTTGTTATCGTCTGTTAGAAGTACTCCTAATAGACTAGGCGGTAAAGAGTTCCAGTCATTACAATAATTACAAAGGGAGGGAGAGAGGGAGAGAGAGAGAGAGAGAGAGAGAGAGAGAGAGAGAGAATAACAATGAAGAGAGAGGGGCAAAAATTATTATTTTAAAACATCAACTTGAAAAATATATTCTGATGCATCCTATTTTTAGACAGGATCCTTACCATGCTAACAAAATTGAAATTTAAAACAAGATAAAAATAATTAGATTATTCAAACCTAACAGCATGACTAGCTTGGTTTAGATTGTTGTCAACCCCTCTTGACTGTGCATAGCCTGTCTTGATGTCCCCAAATAAGTCATCATTTCTCGAGTGCTGTCTCCTTGAGAACATGATGCACTTGCAAAAAGGACTATTACTAAAATAATATTTTTGACTTCTATCTTTTTCCCCTTTTGTAGAGCATCTTTGTAATTTATTGCTATCTCCTTCATGTCAAATGGATCAAAAAGAATTGCATCTTGAATTTCTATTTTCACAATTAGTTGAATTCTTTATTAGCTGGTGAGAACCATCTGATCCTCCATTCTACATGATCAATCAGTTGAACTCTTGGTTGTTGACAATTGATTACTTGCAAAATATTATGAAACTCAATCTGTTCATCGTCCATGCTATCTTCAAATGTAATGTGTTAACAATCATCAAGAGTATCATATCTTCCAAGTAAATAAGATCCTAAAACATTTTCATTCCACAACAAACCATGATCAGCACCAAGTTCTGACAGCATATTGAAGCAAGTTGATGAGGAAAAAAGATTGGATGCACTTAGGAGATAGTTCTTTGAAATCACTCCAAGAGGAAAAATCTATTAACCCAAACTTATATTAATTTTGGAATAACTTTACAAAAGAAACTCTTCATTCTCTAAGAGAAAAGGTTGAAAATTGTTCCAATTCTATTCTTTCATTTTTCAATTCATTCACCCATACTTCCATTTCCGCAAGCCAAGGGTCAGCCAGAATAAATCTAGACCACTAATTAAACCAGACAACACAACCAAAAACAAAAGGAAATCAAATCAGGCCAAAACCAGAAGGCTCGAACAAACCCTGATTGAATTTCTTCTATAGAAATGCCACACTATAGTATGACTGAAAAGTGTAGCTATGGGCATGAAAAACAGAACAACAAATTGTGAAACATTAACCAAATAAATTAAACAAGTTATCATAAAATCCATTCTACATCATATACTAATATTCAAGATCGTTAAAATTCAGATAAAAGCTCACCGATTTTAAGATCAATCTGTAGATCTGACAGAAAGTGGGAAGCATATCTGCCACAATTTCTAATTATTTATTCGAGAAACAATGCACCATCTCTACAGGAAACAACAAAAAACAAACAACAACGTCAAGCCCTTATACCACTTCGTGGGGTCGGCTAAATGAATCCTTTTTTTTTTCTTCATTGAGATTTGAGCCCGATTAAGAGTCAAATTCTCATTTAGATCTAATAAAGAAATATCATTTCTAATATTTTCTAACCAAGTCTTTTTAGGTCTGCTACTACCTTTCTTAACATGGGTTAAATCTAATACTTCTACTCTCCTAACCGGGTCATCAAAAAGCCGCCATTTTATGTGACCAAACCATCTAAGGCGACTCTCCCTAATAATCCTTCAACTCCCTCTTTAGTCTTATCGACGAGAAGAATATCGCCAACAAAAAGCATACACCAGGGAACATCCTCTTGCAAATCTCTATTAAGAATATCATGACTAAGGCAAAAAATATATGGGCTTAAGGCTGATCTTTGACATAATCCAAAGAAAATTGGAAAATACTTGGTCAAAACACCTTGTGTTTGAACACAAGTAACAGCTCCATCCAGCATACATATCCCTAATGACTTGAATATAAGCATTATTAATCCTTTTTTTAGAACTCTCCATAGCACTTCTCTTGGAACTTTATCATATGCATTCTCTAGATCAATAAATATCATATGAAGATCTTCCTCTCTCTGTGCTTTTCCATCAAACCTCTCAATAAATGTATGACTTCCATAGTAGACCTACCCAGCATAAATCCAATTTGATTTTGAGAAATGTTCGTATCACGCCATAACCTATGCTCTACAACTCTCTCCCGTAGTTTTTAAGTATGACACATCAACTTAATTCCTCTATAATTTGCACAATCTTGTGCATCACCTTTATGCTTAAAGATAGGAATCAACACACTCATTCTCCACACATCTGGCACTAGCTCTAACAAAATAAAATTAAAATATAGCTAAACTGAAATGGGTTCATTTTAACTAAATTTGATTATAATAGGCATTACCAAGATTCCCAAGATGCCCAGTCAGAGTATAATCATACTCAATCAGACTGGACTGGCTTCAAGACTTCTGGATTTAATTAATAAAAAATATTCATCAGTATTACAATAAAAAGATTTTTAAAACTAAAATCAATCTATCAGGCCAGACTTGCAGCAACAGATTCACCTTGGCTTAGGACTTTCAAAATCCAAATCATGTTTTCAGGTTTTAGGGTATAAACCAAATACGCCACCTTAAGGGATTGAACCTCCAACGCATTAAAAGATAAAAAAATAGCTTAATCACATTATTTCACCAACCCTAGAAGGTTTGCATTTCATAGAAAATAGTTGTTGCTTTCTTAAAAGAAAATAAAGAAAGAGAGAAAACTGAATCCTGGACACATCACTTTTCCTCCAAGGGAAAAGAAAGCTTAAAAATAAATTAGTTTTCATCAAAGATGTGATGCCAATTTTCTCCATGTTCAATTTCATTTCTTTTCCTTTTGATTAGCATGGTTCCTAACATTAATGGCCCTTCAAAACAAGTTTTCTTAAAATATTATTGGCAATAAAATCAGGTTGATTTTCCAACATAGCAATACTAGCCTCCCACACAACATCCTCGGTTGTTAGTTTCGCTCACTACTAAAAGATAGCCACAAAGATCCTCTGATGCTTCATCATTTATAGGTCCACTGGATTTTATTCAATTTTAGTGTTTTCATGCTCTCCCGATCTTTTTGGATCCAATAATGCCCAGTAGATACCAAAGACTGGAATTGTAGCGTTGCTTCAAGCTAGCATTAATAGAATTAATTCACTATAAATATAGTTCTAACAAAACAATGAGAAAAGCTTCAGTGAACAAACCATGAATCCGCATAAACAAGTTGTGTCATGAAAACAATTCTTAGAACTATACATTATTTATTTATGGCAAAAATAGAACAATAAACAAGCTATTATTCTATAAGTACTGAGAGGAATCGTCTATTGATTGCAACAAACAAGTACTAAACATAAAATATTTTCCAGATGTGGTTGCATTCATATAGAATGCTACTAAATTATAGAGCAAGTTATAAATCAAAATCAGCAGGTTGATAGAAATGAATCAAAAGAAGTATAGGAATAACAACAAAGTCATTATTTGTTATAATTTTAAATTACATCACAGTATTGTTTCCGTGATTGTTTATCCAAAATAAAGAAGAATAGCTATATGAAGATCCAAAACCAATTTAGTAATTCAGCAATGCAGTGTTCTTTAAAATCTTTAAAGATTAACACAGGTAACAAAAGCATATCGAATTTAATAAATACTAAAATCGAAGACCACAATACACATGATAAGTTAAAAATCATACTTCTGCAGCACTATCAAGGTTAGCTGAATCCGATGCTTTCGGATTGCCATAAGGACGTATTTCATTTTCCCGACCACGCCAAACAGGAGACTCAATAGTTGTCTCTCGAGATTGCATCCAATTCAAGTTTCCCTAGCACATGATCTCATAGATGAGTTATCATAAGCAATAGTTTTCATAAGAAGTGGCCCTTCAAAGGTATTTTATATAGAAGGGAATATGTTTATTTCAATAAATCAAGTCAGAAACCTGAATGGTATTGATCTCCCCATTATGACCCAGCAGCCTCATAGGTTGTGCAAGAGGCCATCTAGGACTAGTATTAGTGCTGTATCTACGATGGTAAATTGCAAATGCAGACTTATATAGGTCATCCTGTAGATCCAAATAAAATTGACCCAAAACTTCAGAGCGAAGCATTCCTTTATAGACTATTGTCTGATTTGACAAAGAACAAAAATACAGCTCATCTTTCCACTCTTCTAATTGTGTTGTTCGTTCAATTAGCTTTCTGCAGATGTACAACTCCCTTTCAATGTCATCAACACTCTCCTCTTTTGGTACTTTGACAAATACTTGTTGTATGTTGGGCATTGTTTTCCTTGCATAGTAGCCAACTATTGCCGTGTTTACAGGAACAGGTCTCCACCCAATAACTTCTAAACCCTCTTCCAAGAAAGTCCTCATAATAGCTGTATAGAGTTCAAATTAGCAATTTTCAAATATCTCAATGAAGAAGAAATTGAGGCAATAGCTACCACAAGTATTATAAGCAAGGAAATTGATGATTTAAACATAAAGAATGCATGAAAACCCAAATCCTTAAGCGGGTAATCTAGCAAGCTTAAGCAATAGTTTATAAAAAATTTTTGAGGGAGGTTTTTAAGGGAAGTTTAAAAATGGCAAGAAAGTAACAGAGAAACAAAAAAAAAGGATTATAAATGAAGAATATATGAGAAATAATTTCATATAGTGGGTTCCCATTTCATAAACATGGACAAGCATGCTTCATAAGCATTTTTTAAAAAAATAGAATGACAATAACAAGAAGGAATTTAAATTAAAAAAAAAACTAAACTGAGATGCGCGCTGTAGAATGTGTTGCATCAAAAGCATAATTAATGCAATGAGAAAAGAATGTTGGCAAGTGCTTGAAAATTTTTTAAATCCAGAAAAGAAATTACCTGTTTTTGCTGCTTTCATATAGTTTTCATCTTTGGGAAGAAAAACCATTCCAACACCAGTATTACTTCTATCTAATGAAGCAACTCCCTGTTTGCTGGCCCAATCATTAAAGAGATCCCATGGCACTGAAGTCATCAGTCCAGACCCATCACCAGATATATTATCTGCTCCACATCCACCACGATGTTCCATACAACCAAGAGCTGTTAGAGCATCCAAAATTACATTATGGGATGCTTTATTTTGTAAGTTTGCAATAAACCCAACTCCACAAGCTCCTCTTTCTGATATTATGTCATCCAAATTTACAACCTGAGCAACCATCAAACTATGTAAACTTTGACAGATGAAATATCAAAAGCTATTATTTTTCTAATTTTCAAGTTCAAACAGTCCAAAAGGATGATGTAAAGCTAAAAGAAATGCTTCTAACAAAAGTCAACATTCACATGTATTCTACATAATACAAAATGATGTCAGTAACACATTGGAATCCATGTCTTTTGTTAATGGAAGTGGCAAGAATAATACATAACACACAGGTCGGTTTTGTATTGTCCTCTCACGTACTTTGGAATCTATGGATTTAATTGCTTCCTGATGTCTTTGTCAGCGGACCTTAATACTTGTGTCAAATTGGTCAACATTTTGATAGTAGCAGTTATTGATGGCCAAAATAAAAGAGATGGGAAAAAAGGTTAAAATCATCATTAATCATTCTAGAGAGGAAAATAAAACTAAACCAAACAAAAACCAATATTTATTATCGGGGCATTCAAATAGAAGTGATATCAAGCAGCAAGGTATTTCCAATAAAAGAAACCAAGCAACCCCCATGTTACATCTACTGTTAGTGGAATAGTAATTAATCAGTCATTTGATTTCAATAGCCTTGAGGCCGATGGTGAATTAAACATAAATTGCAAAATTTCCTTATGTTGGAGAAGAAAATATCAAAATAACATGCCAAAACAGATACAATTAATAATTTACCATATACCTAGCACATAAATTTTGAAAAAATATAGACATTACCACTACATTCATTCTCCTGCTTGCCTAAACAGCAATCCAGCACAGCAACAATGTTCAAAAAGAAAAGATATACGAAATCGTTATTTATTGTGCTAAAGGCCGGATGATCAATCTGATGTTTTGGACAATAATATCAAATCAACGGTGCCTCGGACAGAAATCACATAATAGAAAGTTCAACAATCCAGCTCAAAAGTAATGGAAAAAGCTTCAGCTTGGCTGATGATGAACCCAGACATCGCCGACGATATATTCACAGATTCACTAGTTGTGGATCATTAGCTTAAACGATAGTATTTTATTTGATCATTCTCATAGCAAGAAAATGCGAAAGCCAAACAAACTAGCAAAATAACTCAAAAACAATCCGTAGTGATCTAAAATAGAAAAAAATCAATCCTAATCGGGCGAAAGAATAGGTGTAAAATCAATCAAAATCACGTTATATTTCAACAAGCTATCATCAGTACCTTGGACCGCTCCTTGCCCAGCATGCCTTCGGCTACAACTGGCGCTCTCCGTGCCCTATTGGATCCTTCGAGGTCAAGGTCTCGAAGGACTGCCCTGATGGTCGGAGACCACCACTTCCTTGCACCAGCATCTCTCCGCCGCCTCGCCCGCCCTTGCGAGAAACCAATAAAATCTCCGACGAGACGGCTTCGGTACGAAGAGGAAGCGAAGGGGCAGTTCAACAAAGGTTGGCGAGGAAAAAACCTCGCCGACGGCAGCGGTGTTGGGTGGGGAAGCGCCGCCATTCCCAGTCCGTCTCAGTTACTCTTGGACCTGATCTCGTCTAAAAACACCAAGAGCTAGATTATTTCAAAAGAACCCGACAATATTCGTGTGGAGGAGAGGAGCGCGGTCGAGATAAAGCGGGATAGAGTGCCCGTAGAGAGAGATTGTTGATATTGAAAGAGAGAATGCGGACTTCAGAGCCACACGCCGCTGCTCACGTCTAACCTCTTGAAGAGAGAAGAACGAAGAAAATGCAAGGAATGTCCGTTGCCCTATATAAGTGCGGTGAAACGAGAGGTGGATCTTTCCGCTTCTGCTATACCGCAAGAGTTGGAAAGTTAGCGTGATCCGCTGCACTCGCAAAGAGGTTGGATGGATCTGTCCCCGTTCCGCCGGTGAGGTGGTCGCATGACTGCGGTTCAACGAACCATGATCCTACCGATTCGACGAGGGACCCACAGAGTTGCGCCTAAACTCTAAAGCATCAGTCCAAGTTAACATGTGAATCTTTATATGAGAAGTTAAAGGTGATTAAATAATTAATTAATTATATTTAAAATAATTAAATTTACGTATTTAATATTTAAATTAAATAATATAAAACTTTCTTAATATAGTTAACAAAAATTACGAGGGATCTTGTCAGACACAAGAAGACTATGATAAAATCTTGATATACTGGATGCCTTGTACACAAGTACATACTTTCTCACTCTCTCATACACCTTCGCCTGCTCCTCTCTCTTCACCTCTCAGCCATCTATCCCTTGACGCTCCTACCAATAAACCCTTAACAAGAAAAAGAAGCAAGGAAGCAGTCAATGGAGCTCACTAATGAAGGTGTCGTGGCTTGTAAAGGAGTAGTAATAGGAGTTCATTGAGGAAGGCATGTATTACATTGTGATGCGTGAAGGAGACAAAAAGTTTATGAGACGTGCAAAGCCACCCTATAGCTGATCAGGTGAATACAAGACTTAAGCCACCTTCAACGTCCATTTCATGGTTTACAACCTTTCCCTCGCCATCAATAATGGGATTTTAACATAAAGATAATGAGGTGTTAGTTTTTATGTTATTTAAAAGTTTGAGTGTTATGCATATAAATAACAAAATTTATATGTTAAATCCATATGTAAAAATGACTAATTTTCTCGGCGAGTGATAGTGACTTAAGCTGTCTTCACCGTCAATTTTACCTTCTCGTTGTTCTGTCTTCAAGAGTTGAGATTTGAGCAGTAATTAGTGACTCCAAAGTCCGCATTCTCTCTTTCTATAACAATCGTCTTTATCTTCAACGCTCTATCTATTTTATCTCAAACAAACTTATCTCCTCCACACAAATGTTGTGGGGGTTCTTTTGAAATATGACATCTCATGGTGTTCCTACTTAAGATCAGAGCCAAGAGTAATTGAGACAAACTAGGAATGGCGGTGTTTCCCCAACCAAAGCCCGCACTGGTGGTGAGGCTTCTTCTATGCCAACCAACCACTATTGGAACACCTTCTCATCTTCCTTGTACAAAGGCCTTCTCACTAGTGATTTAGTAGATTCTTGCAAAGACAACTGAGGCAGGAGAGTGTTGCTGGTACAAAAAAGTGGTGTTTGCCAACCATGAGGGCGGTTGTTCAAGACCTCGAGCTTGAAGAATTTGATAGTGCACGAAGATTGTCATATATTCACATTTGTAGATGATGATTGATGTTATGTAGTTTAGAGCAGTGAGCAGTGTTTTTGAGCTATCTTTGTTGGTTTTTTGTGTTTCATCTTTTGTAACATACTTTGATGAGAATGATCAAATATTATAATAATGTTTAAGTTAGTGATCTACAACTAGTGAATTTGTGAATATTGCATGGACGATATTGGTTCTCATCAACAGCCAAGTCAAATCTTTTCTCATTAAGTTTGGGCGGATTGTTGAGCTTTCTATTATGTGATTTTTGTTAGCAATTGTATTGATTTGATATAATTTTGCAAAAAAAATTTTGATTAATCAGCAAGTTTCTTCAGAGATTTACTGATCAATGAAAAGCTAATTTTCTAGCTTCTAATCTATTATGCAAATATTCTTACTTTTTTTTACTTGTTAACAGAACTCTCCTTTTAGTACAATAAATGAACAACTCATTGCTCCTCACTTTTCTGAAAAATGTTGCTCTGTTCGCATTGGTTTTTAAGTAAGAGAATGGATGTGCAAGTACTGTCTATATTTTGTTTCAAATTTGATGTGTTAGATATGTGGAAAACTTACTATTTGCATAATATGTTGTTCAATATCCTCTGCTATTATTTGTTTTGGCTTCTTATTTTCTTCTAAAAAATATGAAGATTTTGCAAGTCCTTTTTAGCTCATCATCACCATCCCTCAAGGCTATTGAAATCAAATGACTGATTTTTTACAATTATATTCTATTAGTAGTGCATGTAACATAGGGATAGTTCGGTTCTGTTTTCAATTGAAAATGCCATGCTACTTGATAGCATTCCTATTTGAATGCCCTGATAATTAATCTATCAATTTGTAGGTTTAGCGTTATAGCTTACAAAAGTTATAATACTCTGTATCAATTGATTCTACCTTTTTTGTCTTCTAATTTATTTTAGCCATCAATAATGGCCAATATCCGGATGCAGGTCTATTTAACATGAGTACTAAGAAAATTTGAAACTGAAGATATTTGAGAAAGAGAACAATACCAAATTGACTTGTGTTTTGTGTTCTTTCCACTTCCATTCCCAAAACACATGCACTCATCACTAACTTCATTTTATATTATACAAAAATATATGAAAATTTACTTTGGTTAGGAGCATTTATTTTAGCTTTAAATCAACTTTTTTGCAGTTTGTACTTGAAAGGTAATAAAAAAATAATTTTGGTGTTTCAAGTGTCAAAATTCACATATTTTGATGATGTCTGAGGCCATAAATATGGATGATATCATATCAGAAAAAGGGACTTACAGAGCCAATTTTCTTGCAAATTTGCAAAATATGGAACCCATAATGTAGTTTTGAATGTCCTAATTGCAGTTGGTTGTATAGAATATCATTGAGACTTACAACAGACAATTCCTTTGGTAATGGATGTGGTCTGATGACTTCAATCCTATGAGATTTTCTTAATTACTTGCCCAACAAACAACGAATTGCTTCCCTAGGTTCAAGCAACATTAGTGTTAGGATGGGCTTTCTTCACAAAGTTGAAAGTTATATGAAGACACCAAAAACAAGTAACATTTTCTTGGATGTAAAAAAATTTCAAGCACTTGAGTATTATCATTTTGTTATGCTAACATTTTCTAAGGTTTTAATGCAACAAATACTAAAGCGTGCGTGTCAATTTAGCTCTTTTTATTCCTATTGTCCTTAATTTTCTAAAGAGGAGTTTATGGAGCATGTTTATTTATGATTGTGAAATGGCAACCTACCAGATGACATCATTTCTCATATACTTTTCTTCTATGATATATTTTTGGTTTGTTTCCATATTTTTTGTAACTATTGCTTATGCTTATAGGGTTAGTCTTTTGCAAGCATTCTTTAGTTTTAAATCATCATTGTTCGTGATTAGACTACTTATGATAACAATTGCCTCAATTTCTTCTGCATTGAGATATTTGAGAATAATTTATTTTAGCTCTATGCAGCTAACATGAAGAATTTCTTGGATTAGATGTTATTAGGGTGGAGATCTATTCTTGTAAACACGGTAATTCTTGGTTAATATGCAATAATATAATGAAACCTCACATGCAACAAATTTGCCTAGGTACCAAAAGGGGAGAGTGTTGATAACATTGAAAGGGGGTTGTATATTTGCATAAAGCTAATTAAACGAGCATCACAAGTTAAAGAGTAGAAAGATGAGATGTACTTTTGTTCTTTGTCAAATCAAACAATAGTCTACAATGGATCACTTCGTTCAAAAGTTTTGGGCCAATATCATATGAATCTATTGGATGAGTTATATAAGTCTGGGTTTTTAATATATCATTGTAAATAGACCACAAATACTAGACTTAGATAGGGTTGTAATGGAACAAGTGCACTCGATAAATAATTCAATATTTGTTCAGGTGACGCTTGTAATAGAAAATTGAGAGCTCGCTAGCAGATCCAAGCAGGGCAACTTCCTTAGTGGGCAAATTGGGCAAAGCAAGTCACCCTAGTGGAATAGCAGGCGAAACAACTTTTGGCTTTGCCAGGAGCAAATTAGCATGTAATTCATGTGAATAGGTCACTTGTGTGAATCCTCGCAAGATTTCATGGATCCTTATTGGATCTTTGAAACATAAAATTCTTATAGTTCACAAATAATGCCAAGATGAGCTAATTGAACGCCATCGAAGTCCACTCTGACATCATTTGCATCAGAACATTCAAACATGTCTTTTTTTTTTTCTAATATCATGACATAAGTTGTAGAAGGTTGTATCTCTTCTTCATGTTTTTAGTACTAGCGCAAAAAAGCCTATATAAAGAGGAGAAAGAAGTAATAAGGAAAGTACAATAAAGAAGAATATTTATAATTCTTAGAATATATTATAATAAAATATGCTATAAATTTTTAATAAATAGTAAACATATGTGATAACATTAATATGGTACGTAATCTAATAATTTCATAAATCAAATAATGTTTTTTTAATAAAAATATTTTGAATTTTTTGTTACACGCATTTGAACAATTGAAAAAATTAAATATCTTCCAAAAAAGCGCAAAACAAACAACTCCACAATAAATAAGCAAATAATATTTTTATTTCATAAAGCTAATTCTTTGGTGATCTGAATACATGTCCAATATATATTTTATGGGAGGCCTTATTTATAAAAAATATAATTAATCATAAAATTATTTAAATGAAAATTTATGCAAATGCAGTTTATACATTTTAGTTCAAAAATCAAGTATTTATAAAACTACCCCTATACCATTTGGGAACGCATGATATTCGATTGAATGAGTAGGGTCTTTGTTGTGATATATAATAATATAAGGTCAGGTTCAGGTTTAATTTTTAAGGAGTGGAATGAAAAAAGAGCTTATGTGAACAAATAAAGTTTGATCGAGTTCAACTTCATATTTATTCATTTATTAATTCACTATAGAGATGAAGCCTTTGTTTGTGATGGCTTTCTTATTGCTTCTTAAAATGACTTTTTAGCTAAAAAAATTAAATTTTTTGTACTAAAAATCGCTTTAAGAAACAGAAAGAAGACGTCCCAAACGAAGCCGA